CCCCCTCCACTCCAGATTCTCCACAGTATTCCTATATTTTTTAATGGCACCCTGACTACATTTTTTCAGCATTTTTACAGACTTAGTATTCACTGTTCATCAACAAAAACTGAATTGATTGTGAAATAAATAATGGAAATGGAATAATGAAATAGTTCCCGCCAATCTCGGCTCCCTAAACTCGGAATAATAGTGCTTGGTCTATTGTTCAAAAGGTGAGCAAGTGAGCAAGGTGAGCAAGCTGAGCAAGCCGAGTATGTTGGTTCTGCTCATGTAAGTTCGTTTTATGTAGATAATCGATAATAATCTATCAAAATGACAACAACAAGACAACAGCTTACTATTGCAAGCTTTCGTGAACTGTGGAAAAATGAATTTCTGCCAGAAATTCGAAAGGAAATCGACTCAGCGAATGCCTCGCTATATACTGAAATTCGTGATCTAAACAAGCGCTTGGATGAGTTTGAAAAGACCCTGTCCTTCTTTTCCGAACAGTATGACCAGTTAATAAAGATTACACAGACAACTAAGAAACAAATGCAGCAAATTGAAAGCAAAATCGAAGACCAGGGTAAAACAATAACCGGATTAAAGAACAACGACTATGATAATATGGCCGCCATTGACGAAATCCAACAATACCAAAGGCGTGATTGTCTGGAAATTACAGGTATACCTACATACCCAACGATGAGCCGAAAAATATTGTCATGGAACTTGGAGCAACCTTAGGCGTTTTACTGAACGAAAATGACATATCTACGGCGCATAGACTTCCCCCCACGAGGAAAATTCAAGACCGCATTATTGTCAAGTTCGTACGCCGCGACATACGAGAAGAAATTTATAAGAAGAGGAAAGTTTTAAATGGAAAACTGACAGATTGCCTGCCCTCAGTAAATGCAGAAATTGGCAAGAGTATCTCTCAACCCACAAAAATATTCATCAATGAATCTTTGACGGCTTACAGAAAGCGTCTCTTTGGAAAAATCCACGACTATCGTAGACAGCATAACTATAAATTTATATGGACTGCAAACGGGAAAATTCTCCTTCGCCAAACAGAATCGTCGCCAGTTAACAGCTTTACAACAGAAGAAGAGTTTCAGAGGTTTATTTCTAAGGACTAAACAATAATTCGTGATTATTTTTAGACACAAACTGTATGTGAAGCGATGGATGAACAAGACTGTGAGTTATCTAATTTACCATTTTATTACCTATCAGATACTGAATTTAATGCTCTCACTGGTAATTGGCATGTTGTCTTTAGCAGTGATTCTGATATATATAATGTCCTACAAAATCCTGACAAATTTGATGAAAATGATTCAGACCTTATGTTAAATACCCCTAATTCAAATTATTACTCTATGACTAAACTTAATCAGCTTTTAAATAAGTCAGGTCATGATAGTATATCATTATTTCACTTTAATGTCAGAAGTCTCCCTAAAAACGTATCTATATTGAATGATTTCCTCTACACTCTTGATAGCAGGCCTGATATCCTAGCTATAACGGAAACTAAATTAAACCATAATAATGTGGTTAATATTGATTTACTTAATTATAACTTCTTTCATACTGACTCACCAACCATGGCTGGTGGTGCCGGTTTATATATCAACAAAGATTTGCAATGTATACATAGACCTGATATAAAATTTTCTCTGCCGCTTGTTGAATCATGCTGGTCTGAGATTGCCGCTGGCAGAAATAGATCTACTATTATGGTTGGATGTATTTATCGACATCCGTCAGCTAATCTTCAAGAGTTTACTTCTGAATTAAAAAGCATAATTAAGCAATTAAAGAATAATAAACATGAAGTGTTTATATTGGGGGACATGAATGTGGATTTCCTTAAATACAGTATACATGCTCATACGGAAGAATATTTAGATATGCTTTACTTAGATAATTTTATTCCTATTATAACAAAACCTACTCGCATCACTGAACACTCCTCTACATTAATCGACCATATTCACACTAATGCATCGACTCAAAACATTGTCTCTGGTATTGCTCTGGTAGACATATCTGATCACCTACCTACCTTTTCTCTGTATAACACATCAGTTAGTAGAATTAAAAAGACTATTTACCTAAGGGACTACAATCAATTTAATAAGACAAAATATGTAAATGATTTAAATACAGTAAATTGGTCTGAAATATTTAACAACAATCAAAACTTGCATGAAATGACTAATGAATGTATTAACACCATTACTCAAATAATTGAGAGGCATGCACCAACTAAACAAGCCTCGCGTAATAGGATGAAACAATTATCAAAACCTTGGCTTTCAAAAGGTCTCATTAAATCTATTAAAGTAAAACAAAAGCTTTACCGCTCACACTTTTTAAGTAGAGATCCATTGAGAGTTTCTATATATAAGTCCTATTCCAATGTATTGAATAAATTAAAAACTAAAACTAAAAATGAATATTATAATCAGCAGTTCCATCAATGTAAAAACAATCTAAAAAGCACTTGGAAATTGATAGGCACATTGATTAATAGGAAAAATAAAGGTCATACTTGTCCAACTAGAATTGTTAGAAATGAAAAAACATATATTAATCAGTTCAACATTGCTGAGCAATTTAATCAGCATTTTGTAAATGTGGGTCCCAAATTGGCTAATTCAATCCCAAATTCTAATGATGATCCCACCAAATACGTAACTAACTCACCAATTTCAAGTTTTTGCATGTCACCTGTCTCTGAGGAATACGTTTGTCGACTTTTCTCGGAACTAAATGTGAATAAGTCTTCTCCAGATATTCCTAACAAAATGATAAAGCTGGCTAGTAGTGCTCTATCAGTGCCTTTTGCTCATATTTTTAACCAATCCATTTCTACTGGAATTTTTCCCAATGCTTTCAAAATATCTAGAGTAACGCCAGTCTATAAGAGTGGGATAACGACAGACCCAAATAATTATAGGCCAATAGCTTTGCTATCACCCTTTAGTAAAACGCTTGAGCGAATTGTGTATGATCAGCTTATGACTTTTTTAGAGAAATATAACATACTCAACAAGTATCAGTTCGGCTTTAGAAAAGGACACTCAACGGAACAAGCTATTTTAGAAATAACTGAGAACCTGAAAACTTCCATTGATAATAATCTTATTACATGCGGGGTTTTCATTGACTTTTCTAAAGCTTTCGATACGGTCAACCATGAAATATTATTAGCTAAATTATTTAAATATGGAATACGTGGTCATTCACTTGAATGGTTTAACAGCTACTTAACAAATAGACTTCAATTTGTACAAATAGATAACGTACAATCTAGCACTTTAACGATGACATGTGGAGTTCCTCAAGGATCTACATTGGGGCCTTTATTATTTTTAATTTATATTAATGATATAGTTAATTGTTCATCAGTACTTTCTTTTCGTCTATTTGCTGATGATACTAACATATTTTATGTAAATAAAGACCCCACTGAACTTGAAATAGTAATGAATCGTGAGCTAAAAAAATTCTACGACTACTGTGCTCTCAATAAATTATCTATTAATATGAACAAGACCAATTTTATGGTGATAACTTCAAGTAACAAAAAGCACATTAATATCAACATTCCTAATATCGAACGTAAAAACTGTATTAAGTATCTTGGTATATATCTCGATGAACATCTCAATTGGAAAAGCCAAATTGCTCATGTTAATAGTAAATTAGCCAAAAATATTGGCATTTTTTATAAATTACGTCATTTATCTAACATTTACATATTAAAGCAACTTTACTATAACCTTATTTACCCTTATTTAACTTATGGTGTTATGAGCTGGGGTAGCGCGTATACAACCAATTTAACCAAGATTCGTACTAAACAAAATAAATGTATACGTAGTATTTTCTTCGCAAATCATATGGAGTCAGTAACTACTTACTATAAACTTCTTGGAATACTCAATTTTGACAATATTGTGAAATTTAAAATTGCTACATTTGCAAAAAAACTCTTCTTCGAAATTTCCATACATATTTCATGATTACTAGCTTATACCAATATCTGATATTCACAGCTATAATACTAGACTGTCTGCCAGTGGCAATTTCTATCGGCTAAAAGTAAGAACTAATTATGGTCAATCCACCATCAAATTTATTATCTCGAAGCTGTGGAATTGTATTCCACCTTATTTAAAACATTTAAATATTGAAGCCGGCTTTAAAATACAGTACAAACAGTCGTCCCTCCTATCCTGCCTGATATAGTCTTAACCTACTTGTCAAATTATGATTTAGAAGCTAAATATTGATATGTTTACTTCGCCATAACGATCTTCTACTTTCTATTATATTCCATGTAAAATTATTAACATGCAGTAGCCAACTCGAAAGCTCACGCTACTTTGGCTACGGCGCACATCCAATCTAAGTTTATAATAACATCATTATGTAATAATTCTTAAGTTCTATAATTTCAACAGATAACTTGTAAATACTAATATCATGTGCATAATAAATCTTTCTTTCTATCTTGAACAGTACCAGTTTGAACGTATCGCTTCAAAGATTAAGGGCAACTGTAATACGTTGCATGCGAGTAACCTCAAATTTATTTAGTGTCTCAATTTAATTAAGTTGGCACTCTCACTCTCTGGCCTGCCTTATGATGTATGTATAGATGATTGTGGGTTCATATAGTATTCCTCACAAAATCCTTAAACAAGGGTCACAAAAAGAAACCTTTACGCTACATGAACAAATCCGCTTGCCTATTATTCATTTCCGCGGCAATATGAACTAAAGAACATCCAATATAATAGAATATAATCTGCTGAATTTCTCACTCAATCTGGCTTTATTTTTCCTGTTATGTAGCGTGTTGTTTTTGTTCTGACGTCATTAAAAAATCGATTTTTTTTAGAAAAATGTGCTTACTATTTCTGATTATTTTGTCGGGTGACTTATGTTCAAATATTTGACGCAGTAATATATTGCAAATTTAAAGTCTTTCATTGTACTCAAATCGAATTATGAAATAAGTGAAAATAAAATTGTAAAAAATTTGTAATGCAAAAAAAATATTATTGATGAAAATTACATTTTCTCGTTTTTAAAGAAAATGACATTGCTGATTTTTTATATATGGTCTTTTGTTAGTTTATGTTCTAATTGACATAAATGAACAAAAAATGGGGTTCACCGTGCATCTTTTTCAGTTCTACAATCTTGGACAAAACCCTTGAGACCATTCCAGCTAATATAACAAAGTTATTGAAGATTGACAAACCAACCTTTGTCTCCCCCAACCCCCCAGTTCAATGTAGTAAACAACACCGAAACAACTTTTGGTAATATACCATGACGCAAGCTCAACATTAGGGACCTTTATAGTTAGCAGGATGGCAACGGCCATTAATACAATAAAATTTATGACAGTGTAGAAAGAAAATGCATAATTAAAGGCCCCTTGGGAGTTTTAGACGTCGTCCTTGCTCTGTTTACAACAGCAAAACAAAAATTTTCACGTTTTGTATACAACGTCTGCCTTTCAAGCAGTAGAAGCTTTCTCGACTATAAACCTCTTTCTTAACCTTCTTAAACTGCAATAAATTCGTACTGTAACAACGGATAATACAAGACATGTTGTTGTGAAAGTTACTTATGGCCACATAAAATAAATTCCTTGATTCTCATCACCGCCCGACTGTATTTTAAGAGACGCGTGAAATTTTTTTATATTTTGTTATACAATATAAATGAACCGCCCGACAAAATATTTCAAGACAGTTAAGTTTTTTATATTTAAAATTGGGTTTTTAGTGCCATTTTAAACTGCCAATTTCAAACAAATAGAACCTTGAAAGAAATTTCATTGCATTTTAACGGAACTTCGCATTCAGTTGAACGGTTCAGTCATTGTTCGTGGAGAAATATGTTCATTTTGGTTTGTGACACTTCACTTTGGAAATCACAGAAATATTAAATGTTAGGAATTATCAGTTTTTTATTTATTGATGATAAATTATATAAATATAAAATATAAAATATAAACCTCCCGGCTCTTCGACATTTTCAAAGTCTAGTGATGAGAATCAAGGAATTTATTTTATGTGGCCTATTTGAACGAGTTTATTTTGGCCGT